GGTTGCGAGGTGGGGAGTAGGGCGATAATAGTTCAGACAGGTACTGAGGTGCCAAGCCATGTAGAGCATGAGGATTTTAAAGTCCACACAGAATTTTGACAGGAAGCCAGTTCAAGGACTCCAGGATAGGAGTAATGTGATCACTTGCACTAGACCTGGTCAGGATCCTGGCTGCTGAATTTTGGACATACTTCAGTTTGTTAAATAAAATCTTAAATAAAAAGATTGAAAGTAAGGTTGCAGCAGTAAATATAATTTATGTATTCAACCTCCATAACCAGGCTTTTTTTGGGGGGGCTCATGCTTGTATTTTTCATTTTGGGCATGATATGACAAATATGTTTATAGAATTAGGTGATATCTGTTCGAATGATTAAGTAGAAGATGATTTTTAGGACCGAGTTAAAAAGTGGAAAATTGAGAACTTGACTATCATATGACACTTCACATCCTGCTTCTTGGTGGCCTTGAGCCAAAATGCTATTTCAGCGATAAAACATCCAGCCTTGTGATTTTGCAGAACTAGAATACAAAAGGATGAGCTTTTGAGGAAACCTGAAGTCATCGAGCGAAGTAAAGTTGAGTTTAGTCCGCAGTACTTCGTTACTTATCTTTTTTTTGGAAGTCGGAGCAGCTCAGCTTGGAGCTGGTTAGAATGGTTTCCAAGTCCTTGACATCTCCTGCTAAGGTTCAAGTTAGTGGCTGCATCAGCATGCGGAGGCTGCAAAAGGAACAAGTAAAGCATTTCTCCATGCTGGAAAGAGAAGAAAAGAAACTCAATGTGTTGGCTGTGGAGCCTTTTTCGGGTGTCTTCACACTTGAAGCCTAAACGTTGTTTCTAATCCCCTATTACAGTCTACCTGATCACAGTTTTTTATAAAGACACTTCCCCATGGCTTTTCTTACACAATGGGAGAGCCATTAACGAGACATTGTGAAGGTCGCCCCGGTTGCTGTGGTGGGTGGTGAAAGTACGCTCTTCGAAGTAACGACTTGACCCGAAACTTCGTTTCCGTAACGGGGTTCTCCTCTTTTCTGTAACAGCGGCAGCCGCTCCTCCAAGACCTTCAAGCCCAAGAAGAACATCCCGGAGGGCTCGCACCAGTACGAGCTGCTGAAGCATGCGGAGGCCACGCTGGGCAGCGGGAACCTGCGGCAGGCCGTCATGCTGCCCGAGGGCGAGGACCTCAACGAGTGGATCGCCGTCAACAGTCAGTACCTCGGAGTGCGAGGCTGCTTAGAAACGAGAGGTCTAACCTGTGTGGTCGTTAGTAGCCAGTGGATCTCGTCCAGACCTTAGTTGAAAGAAGCCAGTGGATGGGTTTCCACAGCACGCCTGGGCAGTCTGTTCCAGACTCTCACAACTCTTTGTGTAAAGACAAGCCTCCTGTTCTGAGTTTTAAATGCGCTTGTGCATCGTTTCCCCTTTGTGTCCTCTCATTCGAGTTTCGGTGCTCGCTCTTAAGAAATCCACCGGGGTCGTCTTTGTCAGGGCTTTTTAGGGATGTGAATACCTACATAACGTCCCCTTGTATTCTTCTCTGTTCAAGGCTAGAAGGGTTGTGTTCCAGAGAAGGATGTTCCCTTAAGCCCTGGAATGTATCTAGTTATTCTTCTCTGGGCTAATTCCAGTGCAGCAGCAATAACTTTGCTGTGATGTGGTGACCAGAATTGTACACGGTATTGTAAAGGGAGACCTTACTAGTGTGTTATACAATTTTGACATAACATCTCTTGATTTAAATTTTGCACTTTTAAATGCATATCTTAGCATTTTTTCTTTTTAATTGCTTCCCCATGTTGTCTAGAAGTCTATACGTACTGTACCTATCAAAAGTCTGCACATGCTTTCCAAAGTAACACATTTTGTGGCCTAAGAGCCTAAAATCAAGGCACATTAAATCAGAATTTATTTTACCTTTATTTACACTTTGTAACACAACCTTCAAGTGAAAAACAAATGCTCCAACATCCTGAAAAGTCAGTACAAATGAAAATGTAGAAAAATGAGTAGGACAGGTGTGCGACCCTCTTAGTAATAGCAGTTGTAAACTAGCTTTGGTGTAACCAACTGCATTCTTACTGAACATGTAGAGGAAATCAAACAGGAAATCTATGGATGGACAATACATTAGTAGTTCTCGGTCCATGAGTTTTACTCCTGTCTTAGGTGACTATTGGAAGAGTTGCATCAATGGCTTCTCAATAACATCTTGTTTACTTCAGTACAATTGGTAAAATACCATTGAGCTTTAAGGCTTTATTAATCTTGAGTGCATCTGGTACCTGAAACGCTTCTGACTCTTCTTTGCTGAGACTGTTTAATAGAGAACATTGTCCTTCTGCTGCCTGAGAAATGTTGACTTCGTCCGTAGTGAACACATGAGTGAGATAGTGTAGATCAGCCTATTCCATTTAATTGTCTGGATATTTCAAGTTATTGTCACAGATATATTTTACTTTGTCCCTGACAATCCTTTTGTTTGTTGCAGTAATAAAATACATTTTTGTTTAGTATTTTCTGTGGAATCTTCTTAAGATTCCCAGCATGTCTGGCCCGATGGTGCTCATAATTAATCCAGAGGACTCTTTGCTTTTATAGTACTTGTACATGGGTTTGTTAATTACTTCTCATTTTCTGTGAGTACCTGCATACTACTTTGAGAATCTATTTTTGTGACCTCCTTTGGCCAAGAGAATGCACACTTTTCCTTCTAACTCTTCATTACCTGTTGAAACTATAGTATGGGCTTGATTGGAGCAGTTTGGTGCATCTACCATTAATGACTTGGTCAGGCTGACCATAATAGTGGCTCTTCCAGTCTTGGCTTTACCAAGAACCATGATCAATCAGGACTTTAAGAACTTAATTTACCCTGCTGCTAGTGCAGAAGGTTCCTTGAAGAATAATAATAATAATAATAATAATAATAATAATAATTGCTTACATTTATATAGCACTTTTCTGGACACACTCCACATGTAAGCAATTATTATTTTATTATTATTATTTATATAGCGCTTTTCTGCACACTCCACTCAGAGAGCTTCACAGGTAATGGGGATCCCCTCCACCACCACCAATGTGCAGCAACACCTGGATGATTCGACAGAAGTCATAGTGCGCCAGAGCTCTCACCACACATCAGCTATCAATGGGAAGGAGAACAGAGTGATGAAACCAATTCATAGAGGGGGATTATTAGGAAGCCATGATTGATAAGGGCCAATGGGAATTTTGGCCAGAACACCGGGATTACACCCCTGCTCTTTTTGAGAAACGCCCTGGGATTTTTAATGACCACAGAGACTCAGGACCTCGGTTTTACGTCCCATCCGAAGGAGGATGCCTTATTACTGTGTAGTGTCCCCATCACTATGCTGGGGCATTAGGTCCCACATAGACCGCAGGGTGAGCACCCCATGCTGGCCCCACTAACACCTCTTCCAGCAGCAACCTTAGTTTTTCTCAGGAGGTCTCCCATCCAGGTACTGAACAGGCTCACACTGCTGAGCTTCAGTGGGCTGCCAGTTGTGAGTTGCAGGGCGATATGGATGCTGGCCATAATTAAAGGGAAACTGCAAACCTATTTTCATATTTCGGGGTTGGAAAGAATCACCATTGATGACTGCATTTCAAACCATAATAAAAGTAACATGTTAGTGTAACCTGTAAAACCTGCAATTTGCATAACAAAATTTCCAGGTATGTGCAGCGATTCAGAAAGAGGCAACAAAACATATGGTGACTTGCGTGGCCCTATGACATTGTAAACAACAGGCTTGTGAATGCATCTCTTTTAATCCAATAGGAGGATTGCTTTCAATTTCGAGGCGGCTTTGCGACAGATACTACTTGTTAACTCTGCATGCAGATCACTTTGGAACATTTCTGCAGTGAAATGTCTGCTGCACAACCTGTATTTATACACTCGTACATCACAGTACATTATTCATTAAGGATACTAGTGAGCAGGAAGGGCCGTATCCCCAGGCAATTCGTGGGAACTTGAATGCGAGTTGCATCAACAGGGCGACTTGCCGTACTTTTGCAAAGTTAACGATTTTGTGCTTTTATTTGAAGTTTTGTCATTTTTGTTATGTAAAGTCAATGAATTTTCTATTGCCAAGATTTAATAACCGATCTGAGAAATTGGGACTGCTGTTCCCCTTCAAGCACTAGTTGTAAATCTGATATTTTGTTGGAGTGGACCAGGTATGGGCAACCTTGATTCACCTTGGCTGATGTTTCCTATTCTTATTCCCACCTCAACTCTGCTTTATCGGATTAATTTTAGTCACAAAACACTTTGTGCAAGGCATTTTTGAAAGAATTACAGGACTGGAAAAGTAATGACTAGTAGAGCTTTGTTTAGGTCCTATATTTGATGGGTAACAGATTCCTCCTGTTTAAGATGCTCTAGAGAACCAGAGGTGTCCATCCCATTACCTGAAACAGTGAAAAATTTAACAGTTATAGTCAGAGAAAACTTGCCCTGCTCCTAGAAAAATCTGCTGTTTTCCCTCTGCGTTGTTTGATCTCGTTTAATACCATTCACGCTTTTAATTTCTATTTTGAAATTGAATTTATATCTTAAAGTTTGTACTGTAAATGACTGGTACATGGCAACCCAAGTCAAAGTAACCCATATTCTCTGCTGAGCTTGTGATACTGAACTTCAGTTTTTTTTTGGTTACATTGAAGCACAATTCAGTTGTGAATGGGGTTCTTTAAGAATCTTAAGTGGTCTATTGGTCGGAGACTCTGGTTGAGAGAATAAAGAGCTTGCTAGTAAGTGTGTTTTAATAGGTGACTCCATAGGGTATTTTGTATTGATGAAGTTATTCACCTCTTTTTTGTTACTTGAATTTGATGTAAAAGTCAAGTCCTATAGGAAGTGATACTTCTTTAGCTGCAGCTGGTGGTGTATTGCTTCATGTATAGTTTCTGTAAGTTGCTTTATACAGTACAACAGCCTCTGCTCAAGATGAAAAGTCAGGATAATCATTAGGTTGCTTCAGTTATTTTAGTTTTGTATTAATGTACCCTCTGTGTGTTGCAGCTGTGGATTTCTTCAACCAGATCAACATGCTCTACGGCACCATTACAGAGTTCTGCACAGAGATCAGCTGTGCAGTGATGTCTGCTGGCCCCAGGTAAGGAAAACAAACCTGTTCTCTGTCTCTGGTAGGCAAACCATTGTACACACAACTAAGCTCAAAATTGCACACCTGTAGCTTAGAAAACCTGTAACGTTTCATAATACGTTTTACCCAACAGTAGTGCCAAACAGGCCATCAGCTTAGATTAGGGCTTCAGGCAACTTCAGGCATTATGCACAATGTACTCCTGTGATTGTCTGGGCACCTGTGTGCTTATAATGTTATCATAAAGAAAGCCTACCAGTACTGTTTCCTGAAGATGTCCAAGCATGTTTCAGAGGATAGTGTGTTCTCATTTTATCACTCCCATGGTTTGATTTGAATTCATTTACAATGGGCAATTTCAAGTTGGGGGTAACGACTTAAAAAGTCCCTGTTGGCAAAGATCTGCTTCATTTAAGTCATTTACAGTTTGAAGTGCAGTAAAACCCTTGGTCTCCTGTACCCGTGAGAATAACACTGCTTTGATGCTATTCTTTTACTTTGCATTTTATTAGTGCTCAATTAACAGTACAGTGAGCTACCGTTGCCTTAAACACTTCCTGTCTACCTGCTACTGTTCTGTATTTAAGCAGCTATTTTAATATCTAATCTAGAGGAAGAGTGCCTGCTGTGGCTTCCTGTCAATATACTTTTTAGGTCCAGGGTTGAGATTACTGTCTTAATTCAATACAGAATCACATACGTGATCAGCATTGTGCAGGAAACAACCTGCTCTCTGGCCAGAATCAATGTGATTGGAATTAAGTAATCAAAAACAGGTAATGTTGATTTTTCCACGTCTCTTTAGAAATCAAATAATACTTGTGCAGGCTGTAGTTCTGTAATTCCCCTTTGAGGTTAATATTGTATTTTCTTAGATTAAAGGCAGGTTTAGTTACAAGTTCTTATCTTAATTTAAAGACATTTTCTGTTGGTGGTGGTAAAAGGATCATTTATCTTTGCCTGTTACTGTATGATACTTGATAATGTATTTCTTTGAATATTACCATGGCATTAAAAATTTGTGATTAAGTGTGTTATGCTGGTTAATGTAATCTTCTCTCTCTCTCTCTTCCACCATTCTCCCATTTTCAGATATGAGTACCACTGGGCTGATGGCACCAACATCAAGAAGCCGATCAAGTGCTCAGCACCCAAGTACATCGATTACCTGATGACCTGGGTGCAGGACCAGCTGGATGATGAGACCCTCTTTCCATCTAAGATAGGCAAGCACAGCTCCCTTTAGTTATGAGAGCTACTTGGGTTATCTGCAGTGCTGACTGAATTGTGTGTGAATGTTTAATACAGAATAAATGACGTCTTGTCAAAGTACAGTCAGATCTTATGAACTGGACTCTTTTAAAATCCCCACTTCTTCCAGGTTGTCAGATCCTCTTGCCTCTTGTTTCCAGGTGTGCCTTTCCCTAAGAACTTCATGTCAGTGGCAAAGACCATCCTGAAGCGCCTGTTCAGAGTCTACGCCCACATCTATCACCAGCACTTCGACTCCGTGATGCAGTTGCAGGAAGAGGCACATCTCAACACCTCTTTCAAACACTTCATCTTCTTTGTGCAGGTAACCCAGCTAAGACAGTGTTCACAGAAAGCCATTGCTTGTGATAGAGACCATTCCCTGACCAGGGAAGCAGTTAAATTACCAGAGTTTCCAAACTATTTAATTAATTTAGTGTTGTAATTAAGGATCTGATTGTAACGGAGACCTCCAATTCAATAAAATCTTGTCGGAGCTGCTAAGTTAACTTAACACCATCCCGCTCTGCGCATGGAATAGCACCAGAGGAGAACCCTCAAGCCCAGCCATTTTATCACACTAGCATTTTCTGCCCCCTCTTTCTGGTTCTGCATATTATTCGCATATTGATTTCGATTCACCAGTTAGAAATGGGAAGAAAGAAAACACAACGTTTCGGCCGTGGAGCCTTTTTCAGGTGTGTGCCCTTACTCCTGAAAAGGCCGAAACATTCTGTTTTCTTTCTTCTCTTTTTAGCACGGAATAAACCTATTACCAGTTAGAAATGCTGCATTCGTGTGGTGCACTGGAAAACTAGATGGTACGCACTGCAGAAATGCAAATATGTACATTATTGAACTCCACGAGTGTAAACGACAAGTGTTACGCTTATGTTCCCAATCTTTTCCTGGCACGACCCTTTCAAATCGGGATACCCTCTGTCTGGATTTCAGTGTTATCCCTTAGTGCTGCTCCTCATTTTCTCCTTCCTGCAGGAGTTCAACCTGATTGACCGCAGGGAGCTGGCCCCACTCCAGGACCTGATTGAGAAGCTGGGCTCCAAGGACAGATAGAGGAGACAGGCTTAGGCTGTGGACTGCAGCACACTGGGACTCCATTGCACAAATCTATGTATCCTGCACTCATCCCTCTTTTTATGGCTTTATCTCTCTTTCTGCTCTAAGTTTCCACTCTGGGCAAAACTACCCACTCAATAATAAATGAATCGGATGGTAATTCTACTGTTTGCCCACAATGGGAAATTAGTCTCTTTATGTCTAGCTTTTCTTTTCCTCTTTCTCAAACTTCAACAGAGCTCATATTATGTGTGATATTATGATGTTACAAATGTATGACCTGATCTCTCAAAAATGTTCTCTTTGAGATTAGTTCTTTTTTTTTTTCGGATAGATGTAATATACAATAGACGTTTATAGGTTCCCATAGCTGATCTTTTTATCTTTTCAGGGAAAATTCAGATTTTAATTTCCTGGAACATTTTAATAAGCATCAAAAACTTAACCTTGAGGTTAAATCTGAACGGGCCTGGATTTAGTGGATGACAGATGTAAAAATAGCTAAGAGCAACCAGTTACTATACCTTCATATTGAGACTTCCTCTTTCAAGGGCTGTACTTTAAATGTAAAATCGCCAATTATTTTTGTTATAATCACTGGGATTGGAAAAGCCAAATGTATATTTCTCACATTTCTGCTTGCAGCTGCAAAACCCTTTCTCCACACATGGGGGAGAGTGAGGAAGTGTAGACTGACTCTTGCCCACCTTTGAGCAGCTCCACTTTTAACACGCCGCAGGCAATACAGGCTGCGTCGCACCTGAGCTGAGTGTTCAGTGCTGAGTGGAGCAGAAGCATGCTTCTCACCAACAGCGCTGCGTGCTTCCCAGGAGGCCACTGGCATCTCCAAGAAACAAGAGGGACCAATTAATCCCACTTTAATCTCGGAGATGCTCAGCCAATTGTGCACTGCAGTCCTGGTCATATGCCCCAGGCCCAGATCTGTAATCATAGCACTCCACCTGTGCTCATCAATTAGCCTTACCTATTGAGCCAGTTCGGAGGCCTCTTGGACCATACTTTCTGTAAAACTTTTAAGCCTTTTGTTGCTAGGTTGAAAAGGTACAGTTCAAGGGACCTTTATTGACTCTTGTGACAAAGGTAAGACCAGAAAGCAGTGAGCTGCTTGGATTACAGATCTGTTAAGATTGCAGCCTAGAAGAGTTAAATATTGGTGTGCCAGTAGTTCTGTATGATCTTCAGATATGTTCGTTTTTCTGTTCTTCATGTATTTTATGCAGTGCTTTTCTTTGCCTGACCCAAACTCAGGTTACTGGTTGTTAAGTGTTACATACAGTATGGTCTAAGTTTTCAAATTAAGAAACGGTGCATGTTGGTAATGAGTATTTTATAAAAGACATCTTTTAGAATTGACAAGAAGTAGCACTTTAAAACGACTGTCAGCTTTATGGGTTTATAATGGTCTACAAAGATGTTCCCTGTACCCCCAACTAATTATACATCTTTATTATTTTCTTTTTTCATGCCTTAATACTTTTGAAAAAAATCTAAACAATTTTGGTTTAACATGTTTTTGAAAGTATTGGTTGTACTATTTTTAAAGGAGTATCTTTTTCAGAATTTTGGCAATATAGTCCATTTGATGTAGTCAATATAAACACATTTACTAACAAGTGGTTTATTTATGTTTGACTGTGTTCTAAATAACAAAGTAGCTTTACTAAGCTCATTAATATTCCAAATTTAACATACTTTTCAGAATGACTATTCAATTTCATTGAACTCTTTATAATTTTAAAAATGAATGACCAAAACATGCTGAATAAAATTTTTAGAATTAAGTTTGTTTTATTAAATTAGTATTAAAATCAGTTTATTATACTAAATAAGGCTGCTTCGTTATAACATTTTAATTCTGAACAGAGTATAGTTTTTTTTATAAATAGATCTGTTTTTTTATCAGTCATTTTCCTAGCTATAGTGCCTAATAGTTGTAAACTATGATACTTGAAAGCAATATTAACAAACTATAATTGGGTTTGGGTTATTCATAATTGTTCATAAAAAAGGAACATTTAATTACATCAAATTAATGTACACTTGTTATAATGCCATGCTGTCACATTTGAAATGAACACTGCCCTATAAGTAAATACCACAGTTCAAAATAAATGTGGTAATCACTTGTATTTCAGTTATTTTGAATTGGTTAAATGTTATAATAAGAAAATATACAAAATGTACTAGTAATTTTTCCTTTTCAGCATTTAAGGAACTACCTGTCTTTAAACTTATAATTATAACATCTTTATAAGTTTAGGGGGATGTTTTAATTTTTTTTTAGGAAACCGTTTATTCTTCTTTTGTTTTCTTTAAGTTGTTATGATTAAGATCTTTAATGCTACAAAGAGAAAACAGTGGAGTTTACAGCTCTCTATCTTGTTTTTGACTACATTGGCTTAAAATCCAGTTAAAGATGGCAAAATAAAAAGGGACCATAAGGCGTTTAGATGGCTCATTCTGAGGTTACTGCCCAAACCTTTTTTTAAGCAACATGAAAAATAAAAGGGAGGTAAGCTAAGTAGCTGTTAGGGCTCTGGACTCTTGACTGGATGGTATTTGAGATCAGATGCCGGCTGAGACTGTGCTGTTGTAGTCTTGAGCAAGGTACTTTCATAATTTCAGTGAGCATCCTGGGGGCTCCAGGTTGTCATTTGTAAAAGAGAAGAATTTCTCGATGTACCTGATAAAATTACACAATAAAGAAGAACAGTGCAGTGATGCACAGCTCTATCTTGCAAAAACTTTCATTTTAAAATCCCTCTCGCAATTGTGCACCAAACCCATACAGCTGACGTTTCAGCTTGTTATAAAAATTGTTGCACAGGGTGAATAAGCTTGCCATGTATGCACACCTGTGTCTGACCAATATGACTTCAAAATTATTACTGCAGTAATAAATGCCTCCATTGAGTAAGCACTGTTCTGTACAGCTGTTTCAAGTCTTTTAGAATATATGGTGCAGGGTTAATTCAGAGTAATGAGGTAGTTTTTAGTATTCTTTGATAGTGTGCACAAAAACATTGTAAAATCACCTCAGTCAGACAAGGCTGCTTACAATTAACAGTGTTAGTGACAAATACTTTTCATGCAGCAGTGTATTTCATGTGCATATACAAGTGCCCATAAATACAGTTTTTAAAAATCAAAGTATTCTATACTGTGCAAAGCAGGAGTGTTTACAGTAATATCCATGTATTGTTAAAATACTGTGATATACTGGAACATATGGGTCCAGTCATGTATCAGCTTAAACACCCCATATCAGCTTCAGCCAGTAACACCGCTGAGGAAGAGAGCTACTCAGTTGCACACAAGTACTGTATGATGACCGTGTAATAGAGTGGCTGCATTAGTGTGACTGTGGCTGTCCTGCTGTGATTTATAGCTGTTCAGTTCTGCAGACATTTAGATCATCCAAACTTGCATTGCTATTTCTGAATAAGTAGTGTAACATTTATTCTAGCCAGATGATCTGAGTCATCTTGAGAGTCTAGGGCTTGTACCGTTAGAGCGATGATCTGAATTTTACAGTTCAGACAGACATACTGCTGGTAATTATGGATTCTTCAGGAGTGTATCGTGGAAGATAAATCAATAAACAAAAGCCAACAAAAGAAATAAACAGAAAAGTATGTCAAGTGGTTACTTCGTCCCTTGATGTTGCAGCAGGATTTCTCCAAACCAAAATGGTAGATGTTGCCATACTGCTGTGCGTGCTGTTGATTCTGCAAGCATCCAATCTGCTAGAATGAAATGCCGTGGCATCTTGATCCTGATCTTGTTTTCCCAGTAAGAATAAGGGAAAAGGAAAATTTGATGTGATCCATTGCTTTTATGCTGACATTTTTCATCTAAAGTAGTGATGCAAATGCATCATTTAATAAATGGAAGTCAATGGATTAACAACAGTAGAGTGGAATGGCAATACAGAGGATAAAAAAATTACCTGTATTCTTGCCTCAATGAAACAGGGAGATTTACAGATGGAGGTTGTTTTTGTGTTGGTTTCCCATGCTGTCTTTAGCTTGTTTGTCATTGACTGGAATACCAGACTGCGGTAAGATCCAGTATGCTGGACATGAGGGTGGGGGAACAGTATTTAGGTCTATTTTTTTAATATACTGTATATCCATCAGATTTGGGGGGGGTCAGTGAAACTCCATAAAAATCAGTTTAATCACAGATGCTTTGTAATTTCTGCCCTTTTATTTCATTTGAGCTAATGAAAGATCTCTCACTTTCCGTTTTTGTTCTCTTCAGAAAGATCTGTGCTGTCAAATTGCTTGCGTTATTCAAAAATGTAAACTTCTTACATCTTGAAACTGTTGGCGATAACTTTCCATTGGATTCAGGTTAAATTATTTTACAGAATTTGTGGTCTAAATAAAGCCACACTGTTACAACTGCAATAGCTACAGAGATGTTGAATTGGACCCAGCCTAGACCTGTAGCCTGCAGTACAATTTCTGTGGCTGTGGCACATGTAAACTTGTGTTTTGAATAAACCCATATTAAGCAAAGTGGGCAAGACTGGTTCTGTTGCTCTGGTTTACATTTATCAAGTGTTGAAGTGATTTTTGTATTACAGTTCAATTCTGGTATCACCATTTTTAAGAGTCGTTCAATACCTGTTTTCTTTCTTCTAAAATTAAACTTGCACAAACTTAAAGTGGGATTCATGATTTATTTTTTTATTTTTTTTACTCATTTGTATGGAAAAAAAGACTATTTTGGACCATTTCCTTATGTAGTTCTGTAGTATGACTTGTAACTTTTTAAGGTTTGTATATCTTTTGACATTGTTGTGGAGTAGGCAAATCCTAGAAGCACCACTGTCATTGCTGTGGTTTCTTTTGTGTTGAATTGTTTTCTGTGCATTATTCAATAAACAGAACTGTGCCTTAGAATGAAGCAGAATCTCCTTATTGACAATACAATAGCCATGCACAATAGCTTTTAGAGCATTTAAAAAAAAGGTTTTCAAAGATTGTTTTCAAATTTGCATTATGTGTAGAAACAGCATGAGTCAGTTTCATAATGCAATGTCAGTTTAATAAGGTGGGCATAGATTATGTATTTTTTCTGTTTCAACTTTCAGCAATTTAGAAGAAATGTTATAATTCCAGTAAAACAACTTTAAAGCTAAGCCTAATGTGAAGAGGCCCCCCCTAGTGGATTAAAATGCTCATCGCATGAGTACAGAAATTGAATACAGAGAGAATGGAAAGCGACGGAATTCAAATGATCTGGTGTGAATCTATAACCTGTCTTACAGATTTGTGATTCTAAAGCTGTCTGTCAATTAGTCTGTACTTTGTGGGAGAGCATATAAAAAGATTTGCAGCAAAGCATATTAACCTCTGTCCTTTTGGGGTCATTGCTAACACAACAGGAAAGGTCAAGACTGTTTCCTTACATAACTTGCTATTTGCTATTTGTAGTCATCAAGTAAGTCATACAATACACAGCTTCACCATACAAGTAGCCTATAAACAGTGTAGCTACTTCTAAGCAATTAACCTTGTATAGAAACTTAAAATTGATAGAATTTATTTTCCATTTCCTTCCTAAAAACCAACATGGTACACGTATTTCCACCTTTTACATTTGTTCAAATCTCACGGCTGACTCAAATATTTCAACAGGCATGGAAGGAGAGAAAGGTTTCAGAAGACTGGTAGCATGCAGTGGTCATACCAATTTGGAGAAAGGGAAGTAAGAAAAAACTGTAGCACAGACAGAGGGATATCATTATTGAGCCACACTGGAAAATGTAGGCAAAAATATTGGAGCAGCACAGGTACAAGGTGGAACCTTAACTGAGTGATGCACAGGTGGGTTTTAGGAAAGGAAGAGGGTACACAGATGCCATGTTTACTCTATGACAACTGAATGAGAAGGCAATAGTACGACCGAGAACTGTATTTTTGGATGAAGAAAAAGCTTTTGACAGGGTTAACAAAGAATTTGTGGAGAATACCGGAGAGGAACATTCTGAAGGGACAGCTCTGGGATACTATCAGAGCTCTTCACACTAACAGTATGAGCTCTATATGTACTGTACTTTAAATGGACTCAGACTGGTTTGAAGTCAAATCTGAAGTGAGAAAGGCATGTGTGTTGTATTCTATGCTTTCTGTCGTGTATACGGACTAAATTACCAAAGAAGCACACGCAGAATCAGAAGCCTTGAATAAGAAGGTGTATTCTGATGACCAAAGCTTTGTAAATGAAGATGAGAAACTGCAGGTTCATATGACCAGATTAAATGTCATTCATGAAAAGTATACTAAGTTCAGCATAAACAAGACCGAAACGATAAAGGTAAGCACAATACCCGGCAGTCTTAATATCAATATCTACAGTATGGCATTTAGCTTCAAAAAGTATCAGAATTCAAATATCTGGGGAGCATCTTCACAGAAGATGGAAGACTCAACAGAGACAGAGACAAGAGTACCAAAAGCAAATGTCAACTATCAGCTCTCACCTCTGCTAAAACACCCACACATCCCCATAGACACCGAAACAAAACCAATTCATTCCGTCTTCATTCGCACTCTGACATACCAGTGCAAAACATGGACCTTCAAATGTAAACTCGGCACTTGTAACATGAGATGGCTGAGAAGAGCAGCCAACATAGCCAGACGAGACAAGATCAAAAATAAAAGAACTGGAGAAATGGTGGGGCCTACACCAGTCCGCCACCATATACAACAACAGTAGATCAGCTGGTTTAGTCAGTGTGCCCGCATGGCAAGAGATTGACCAAGAGAAAACCTGGCTCAAGGATGTGGAAGAGGTGTTCAGAGCACATGACATTCTCCCTCACAGGGGGATGTCTGGCTGGCCCACAGTTGTGTCTCCCCACGACACCTCATGGGATAAGCAGATAGACAAAGGAGAAAGAAGACATCTGTTTAAAAAATGTGTCTATAAAATCCTTACTCCATTGGAATTTGCTGTATTGTTTGGCACAATAAGTTGAAAAACGTTACATTCTTATCTTTTTTTATTGCTTCACTACGTCCTGCCTGTATAACACGATGTATAAATTGTACAGGATTAAGAAATATTGTAGAACACGTAAATGAAATTGAAAATATTTATTTATTCAAATATATTTATTTATTGCAGACTAGAGAGTCCGTTGCCAGAAGACAGTTATTATGTAGACAGGTGCAGCAAAACCACTGGCTACAAATATAAAACGGGAAACATGAAGCTTGAAGAAAGTTATAGAGAAGACTTTGGTTTTAATGCTGACATATTTATGTCTTATACACAAGGTTGGGAAGCAATAAGAAAGCAATCAAACGTTTGTGCTTCTTAAAATACAGAAACTGGAAAATAAATAATATCAGATCATCGTGCATCTGAAGCTAAAATAACCTATCGATGCAACCGCTATATGTCAAATAAACCATGAAAGCCGACATCCTCATGGAAAGCCCTTCTCTGTGGTGTGACCATGGTACAAGTAAATATTGCAAACTTGATCAACACAAGACACTCCCCCTGTCACAGAAGGAAGTTGGGCTCCAGCGTAGCGGCGGAAAGTGGAACAGCTGTTTTGAGGTTTTAATTTTATTTTTTGTGTACTGATGTGTGACAACTCCGGTGCCTAAATGCATGTACTAAGGAGGTACCAGCGACGTTGAAATCCTGCCGACGATGGAGATGTTCAGTAAACTGACGGCTCTCTTCCAGGAGGCGCTGGAAACGGTGAGTGAAAAGCTGGTGAAGGAGTTCCCGAAGCCCGCAAGGTCAGAAACTTAGGTCCCCGGCTTTTGTCATGGCCTGATTGTGAGGCTTATAAATAATATTATAGCTTTGCAAAATCTATTTAATTAGATATTGAGATAGACTGTGATGTATTAAACTATTGTGCAACTATAGCTATAAGTGTTTAGTTACTTTGCTCATCTATAAGTGTGTTTTCTGGCTGTTACTAGTATCAACAAGTCGCTCCTTAGTTTGAGCTGAACTACAACTGTTTTTTTGCGCCGAGAAAGCCGATACAATAATATGTTGTATTACTAAAACGAATCCATTCAGTATATGTTAGATAGCCATGCAGGCAAATATCGCACTACTGTATATTTATTGTCTTATAGCTGTTGACTTTTAATATTATACAACATATCAACATCTTCATGTTTCTTCGTGGTTTTCTGTTTACGTGGAACATGCTTAAGGCAAGAACTACATTCCTGAATCATTTTGCTAGAACTGACACTGATCAATAACAGCACACCTGAACCACCTGAACCGATTTTAAAATGTACAAATTCTGAATTCAAAATATTAATTCTGTTTAAAAAGTCATTTATTTTGGTTAACGCTTTCGTGCCCTAACACTGCGTTAGCTATCTTAACGATTCTTAAGTCAATTTCTGACAGTTATTTTTGTATGTTGACACTAACTCTGAATTTGTCCTGAACTGTAAAGGTACCTTTATTTCAGTACCATACTTTTTTTAGTATGACTTGTGAAGGGCGGTTGGATAATTATATGTGATACGAAGGGACCATTCATTCAAACATTCAAAATACTCAAAGGCACTGACAGTGGACTTGTTCAGAATCGACTCTGAAACACAAACCAGAGGATACAAGTGGAACTAAAGGGACTGTTTTTAAAATGAGGCTATTTTTTACCCGAAGTTTTGCGGGAGTCCTGAATAAGCGACCCTGCTATATTGTAACTGGCACCCTCACTGCTTCCTATAAACAGAGCTCCTCAGAGCAACTTTAGCGACTACATGAGATAGATGGGACAAATGGCCACGTCTTTAATTTATTATTTATTTCGTTCTCTGAGCAACTCATTGCCTAAAGATATCGAAAATCTTAAAGATGCTCCTTTTATTTTGAAAACTGATAGTGGGACTTGTATTATTTAAAATGTGATTTAAAATTGTATCCTGCATTATATAGATCTTGTTAATTTCAAAGGGAGATTGCCAACTGCTGTTTTCTATGTTAAGATTTGACAAGCCACATTCTTGTCTATCATATGCTGAGTGAAAGTTAAAAACCTGTCTGTTTTTAATCTTTAATTTGGGGAATTAAAAAATTATGTCCACTCTTGAAAAGGCATTACACAAGTACAGAATCTACATAAAACACAAGGTTTCAATCAGAATCTGACCCTAATTTGGTTTTCTCTTCCAGAGAGAACCCTCAGTGAATTTACTGGAATCCTTTGTAGAGCACTGGAAAGGCATAACAAACTACTACATAGAGACGTCAGGTAAGGAAATGAAAAAGGTCAAGGTCTTTTGAAACCACAGATTGCTGTATGAAGTGCAGAAGACAAATGTGATCACCCTTGCTCACCTATCCTTTAACAATCCCTCCTTTATTTTTTATTTTTTTAAAGGAACTGGAGAACCAGTTTCAATGATATTTGCTGTAGACACCAGCTATTCTTTATCAAGGGAAATTGGGCACATTTCTGTTATATCCCAATTTTCGTTCTCCTTTTTTGGATTTTTTTTATTACTGGAAAGTCTTCTCATTCCATTCTCATTGTTATTATATCTTTAACGGTCTGCTCTTTTGGACTCTTTATTTAATACTATTTGCTATTAATAAAAATACCAAATATAAGACACAAAGGTTACACTGATGAGCTGCATCAGCCTGAGAGCTGCAGAGGAAGCAGCAGGAGATAATCCCATACTGAAAAGCTAAAGGAGAAAAAAATAGTGTTACAGCCATGGAGCCCTACACCTGAGCAAGGCTCCACAGCCATTTCTTTTCTTTTTGACTTTGCAAAGTAGAATTAACCTCTGCCTGTTCCTTTGCAATGTCACACGCAGTATCCTTTTCCTCATTGAGGTTGTCTAAAAGCAGTGTTGTCCTTCAAACTTTCCTTAAAACTGCACAGGGTGATATTTCTTTAAACATGTTTTTTCTTCTCTTCTGTAATTTATGACTACTGTTGGTGAAGAAATCTGCGACTGTCTTACAGATGAAATGACCCCGGCAAAGCAGACAGACATCCCATGGAGGCTGAAACAGATGCTGGATATTTTGGTGTATGAGGAGAAGCAGCAGGAAATGGAGGAAACTGGCCCTTGCATGGAGTATCTTCTGCAGCACAAAGTGCTGGAGACGCTCTGCACGTTAGGGAAAGCCCAGGTAACTATTCTGCTTACATCTGCACTGCTTACATCTGCACTTTGTTATATTTGTTAATGTAAGGTTAATTCTGGTTGTTGAGGCCACACATTATCTTCTGGTTTTTGTTCCAGCCTATTTTCTTTACCTAATCTAACGGCTAAGACTGGTAAGACCTTTTGACCTGTTTTTAAGGTAAAAAATGGAGAGAAATTAGAAATAATCTTGTATCTTGTGCTTGGTTTCAGAATAATTCAGATATTTGTTTTTGTTGTGTATGTTTTTGCAATTTGATTAGGATGGCTCCATCAGAAATCTAGAAAGAATATGTCAGAAAGCTCGATACAACGTAATTCCTGCTTGTCTCTGAAGATCATTTGGTAACTTAAGGGTGGTTTAGATAGCTAGTAAGGAGCAGTCGAAACAGGCTCAGACTAAGTGAACCCTGCTGCAGAAAAAATAAAGTTGAAGGCAAGCAGAACGGATTACTGTTTGCTGCAATTTTTTGGAAACAATACACCTATTTTTGGTGTAGAGAACAGTTGAAAACCTTTGGTTTTGGAGAGTGTTACAACACCTGCTATTGTTGCTATTTTACCTTTTCTCTAAAACACATTCAAGCTCTCCTACACCATTCTCATATGTAGTACTGTAGTGTAACAGGGCAGAATTGTTCATTGCAAACTTGTCATAGCTGCTGCTTGTATTTAAGTAAAGCAGCTTATATGTGAGCACATGAACACAGGGCGAATCTGTTTGTCCCAACCAAGTTGTTGACCCTGTAGCACTCTTGAATACAGTCTCGGTCACCTGATATCAATAAATGCTGGAGATCAGGCAGCCTGCCACACCTTGTGGCAGCAGCCACTTTCCTGCCTCTATTGCATATGTTGACCACCAAGCTTATCAGCAGTAGGTTCCATTTCTTAATTCCTTGGTCTGATAATGGCAGGATTTGACTGCAGGCATTTGGAATGAGCAGTGTATCACCTACAGTATGGCGCCACAATAGTCATTGATGGCGTGGGCAGTTGAAAACTAGGATCCATTCCTGCATTCTGCAGGCTTGGAAATTGTTGAGGTAATGGGGTGCAAGTGCATTTTGGTCCAATGCATCATTTCATGTGATGTCTTTCTTCTCCGCTCTCTAGTATCCTCCTGGAATGAACCAGCAGGTCCTGATTTTCTTCACGAAGTTGCTTGGACAGATTCAGCAGCCGATGCTCCATATTATTAATGTGCACAGACCCGTTCAGGTGTGTGATGACTGATTCCATTCACACTTCCCAGTTTAGTTAGATTTCTTCCCAATTGAGATTTAATTTTCTTAGATCAGGCAATTAATTTCTTAATTTAACTCTGTATGCTTTTAGCTCTAAAAAAGTTGAAGCACCAAACCTTATACACTTTTAAATTCATAACTCCAGTCCATGATGGCAACACCAATTTATTTTTATCTTATGTACATGACAATTTAGAAATTAAGTTCAGATTAAGCACTTAATAAAACTAATTACACCATGGTGTAATTTTGGTATGTTGTGAAAGTACTGTACGGTGCACAATATACCAGTACATGTTTATTGGCATTCTTTGCACAGAATTGCCAGTGGTTTTTTTCTGTACATTTTTGTATTGAGAGTGAATTGATCTTTCTTTAAATTGAACTGCAACATTTTAAAATAATAGTTACAATTTTAATTTCTTGGTTTCCTAAATAGGAATGTGAATATAAACCTACTCATATGTTACTTTAACATACAAAGGCTGTAGTTGAGAAAGCACTCTTTTTTCAAAATATTTGAGTTTCCATGACTAACAAAACAACTTGAATCCTATTGGGATCAATATGTTACTTTTTCAGAATTTCCTACTTGAACTGGATTGAGGTGAACACCTGGCAGGATAAACACATTTTAATTCACAATTAAAAGCATACAGCTTGTATGATCAACAGCACCTTAATTGTGCAATTTAAAAGCATGACTTTCTGAGTTCTGTTTTTGGAACTGCACTACAAATTAGCAGATATTTGAAAATGAAGATGTGGACCTAATAATGTTTATACTCCTATAGTACTATTCCATGAACAATACTCAACAGAATGTGTATTTTCTCCTGATATATCTTAAGATCCACTGGCTTCACAATGGCAAAACTGTGTTGTCCTTAACAGAAGCTAATTCGACTATGTGGAGCGGTCTCTTCATCACAGACCGAAAAGGATGAAGTCCAGTTTCTCTTCGTCATCTGTTTCAAGCTGAAACAGGATCCCTATGTGCTGAACTACATCCTAGAGGTACCACTGCTTGTCATTAGAGCCTTTCCTGTTGCTTGAAGAGACCTGCTTTTGTGTTTTCGTGACATGGGGAATATTGGGACTAAGGAAAAGGCACACTCCTCTCGCCTTCCTGAGCCACTTGTCATTAGATGTGTGCTGACATCACTACCAGCTAGCAGGTGCCTGGCAGGTCCCAAATGGATCAGGTGTTTCCCAAACCCAGGCCCACATAACCATTTTTACCTTATTACCACCACTCATGCAATACTACTCACACTCAGCTAATGACATGTCCAAGACTATGATAACAGCAGGTTTGTCCCTCGAATGAGTGCTTCTGATTCGAGTAGGAGTTAGGGCTCTGGACTGGTAACTGGAAGGCGTGGATGCATATCCCAGGTGGGGCACGTACTGTAGGTTCTGTTTTATAAATGGGTACAAATTTAAGTTGCTTTGGATACATTTAAGCATCTGCTGATACATTTAATTACAGCTGTAGTCACTCAGGAGTCCTTGTTGTTAAGCCTTCCTTTAACACATTGATGTATATTAATAGCAAAATTGAAATTCAGATCTCCGTAAAAAAAGGGCGGTACAAGTTAAACTCTTGCACGAATGGCAGTGTGCACTCAGCATTATCGTTTTAAAATAAGGCTCATTTCAGCAGCAGTGCACAGAAAGTTTACCTTGATTCCTTGCCATTGACAGCTCTCTCTCTCTCGCTTTTCTCTTGTTATGCTTCTCCCTCTTTGACTGGTCATAAATGTGAAATGGAAAAATATGCTTCACCAGGAAACACCTTGGATCCAAACCTGGTTTGGATTAAGAAACGGGCACCACAGAACACGGGAAAACCCTTCCATTTTGTCCTTTTTTTTAAATTCACCAGTCCAGCTGTGTGACAATCCAAATTCAACACTTAGACCCTCGAATGCCAGGGAGTACCTGTGCCATGCAGGGTGATCTGCCAGGGCAGTTTTACTCCATCTGATTGCCAGAGAGGGTTGACATCTGTTCTGTTCCTCATTCAGTGTCCTGTTATATATGCTTAATCACTTTGCATTTCTTGGTGAGTATGGCATTTCTGCTGTCCCTGTGTGCAAAGAGGGAAAAGGGCACAAGGAAACCCAGCTGTACCTCGGGAGAGAAGGAGAAAGAAGGGGGAATGAGCCCACAGGGAAGTGGTGACCACGGTGGACCATCAGTGCCTTCCAGCCCCCTGTCTGACTGCACAGCTGCTCCCTTGCTGGCTGGGGGAGATCCAGGCGCCTGCTCCAGCCACAGCCATCCAACGGACCCTTCATCTCCCCCTGCCGCGCAAAACGCCCAGACCAACCTGGTCAGTGCCTTGGTTAACTTGGCTAAAAGCCAGGTATGTGCAATCCTTTTTTTCTATTAATAACATTTCAATTGTGCAAGGAAAAACAAATGTTTTCCCATCAGAAACTTCTCTGGTTTTCAGTCACATTGCGTTCAAAATCAGCAAGTATGGACAGTATTGCATAAATTACAATATAGCTGTTTCTGCTGAAGCACATGGCAGATGTGTTTTAAATGGAACAAGTTATAGGTTAATTCCATGCTGAAAAGAGATGAAAGAAAACACAATGTTTTGGCCATGGAGCCTTCTTCAGGTGTGAGAAAGACAGGGTAGTAAGCAAAGGTAATGTAACGGGAGAACAAAAGCTGGGAGAGAGGAGGAGCGAGGAGCGGGAGCAGGGGACATGTTTAAACTGGATAGATCTGTGTGTGCAAATTGTAGGCAACAGGTATGGAATGTTCAGCAGCTGTTATTGACTTAAGCAGAAGAGTTTGCAGTATGTTTAACATTGTACCTTTAGAACAACAACAACAATAATCATAAAGCAGAGGAAGTCGTTTGCCTTTATTGTTCATCCTGTTACTCAGCAGTGTATAGATCCAAACCTCTCATAAAGGAAGTTTTAGAGGAATCTGAATGAATCAGCTTTCACAGTTTATTTGGGTAGTTTGTTCCAAACACTTACTTTGTGAAAGAGGTGTCTCCTTTTTCTATATTAAATAAACAGACAATAAACTCACTCTGAGTTGGTATGCAGTAGGACCCTGGAACAAACTATATATCTGTAACATGTCATGACTGTTTTATGTAATGAGTTACGTATGGACAGTATGTATCTGCAAGAGATGTGATTTGTAACATTTTCCCTAGGGGACAATAATGTTTATCATCCCTGATCTTTATTTTTTCTTAGAAAAGCAGAGTTGCGCTAAAGGCCTGTGAAGGTCTTCTCCTTCTCGCCAGTATACCAAAGGAAGAGAATGCGATCATCCTGACTGAGAGTGCAGCACTGTGTGAGTTGCTGACAGACCGGCTGTGTGACCTGTACAGCCTGATCCCTACCTCAGTAGACCCCACGGACATTCAGACAGTCAACAGGGTGTACTGGAGGTGTGTATCTACAGCAGTCGGTCAAATGGCTTCTTTGTGATTAACTGAGGGTGCCAGGAAATTACTTCTGTATTGTGGTTATCATAATGGAATACTGTATATTGTAATTGATACACTCTGTTTGTAAGTCTGATAGATTCTTCTGGAGGCTTAGTAGAAAAGACAGTTATGGTGTAAATAATTGTTTTAAATTATTTGTTTCAGGACGTTCGGGAAAGAAAGGGTTACCTTTTAACAGGGTAATAAACCACCAAAGAAGATGCCCTTAATATCCTGAAACAAATATTTTTATAATTTTTTAAACCTTGTACACAACGTAAATTTTTTTCAATCCATTAATTTGTACAGTACACTGCAGGTCCACATGCTCTTTATAAAACACATTTTAATGCACATATAAACTGATTAAGGTTTTACTTGCATATTACATTCTACATTTCAATGGGGCAAAGTCATAGAATTGAATCTTAAATAAGTTTCATTCTAATAATAGTTGTTTTGTTGTTTATTGTGCAGAGTTTTGCCTTCTCAGAACGGTAAAGAGGAGACTTGCACATTTCCTGGGAAAGAGCACCTTGAGGCGTTTTTAACTTGGTTAGATTTCTGTGATCAGCTTGTAAAAGACACACCAAGGGTAAGAGACTCCATACCAGACTGGGAAACTTTATAGTCAAGGCATGAGAAAAGAGGTTACTCTTCTAGTCTCACACCAGAACCGTATCTAGAGGGTCATGTAGTACGGACCTCGATATTTGAGAGAATGAGGAGCGTGGAAATAAAAGGGAAGGAATTTGATTCGGACAGAAGCTGAAGATTTTTTTTTCAGATACCAAAACAAGTCATATTGTCTAATCTCAGGGCTCTGCGTTTCATTAGGATGACTCTCCAAATTAGCAGCAGTTCTTTGGGCAGAAATTTTGACTTCTTGGGTTAAGTATCAAAAATTAAAAAGCACGGTCTGGACTTGAAGGAATAATGGTGCCAGAAAAAGCATGTCCTGAAGGCACTGCATGTTTTCTCATCTCATTTTCAGGTTCTTGCCTCCCGATTGGCCAAAGCAGTTCACCAACAGTGGCTTACGGCAGTAATGCAGCCCCAGCTTTTACAGATGTAAGGGTGGATGTGATTTTTGAAATGGCTTTTTAAGATCAGAACAACGGGGGAGAGTGCCTAGACGGGTTGTTTAGATGGATAGATAATACTTTATTAATTAAACTTAATTAGTTAATTAGTTTCTTAATTAGTTTAACTAATTAGTGAAACTTAATTCGTTTCACTTAGTGCCCACCAATTCTGTGCACTGAGTTCTTGAAAGTCTTAAAATCTGTAGTGACCATTAAACATGAAAGAGAGAGACAGACATTCTCAACTTGTGTTTAGAGTCTGTTTGTTGCTAAAACAGGAAAACTATTATTATAATTATCATTATAACCCATTCTCTGCCACTATATTGTAAAAGGCAGGTATGTGTTACTTAGGAGATATGAAGAAATGTTGCATAGATGCTACCATCAATATGTTTGTATGTGATAAGCATCAAAGATAACAATAAAATTACCACATCATCATGTTTACATCCATCCCCAGTACATTTTCTTTAACTGGCCTGTAGCCTCAGTGCAGTCTCTGTGCTTCAGATCGGAGGTGGGAGTCCTTGTGGCCACAGCGTTGCTGTTCTTGAGTGTGCGGCAGATCTCGGCCCCGCTGTTACTGGAGGAGCTTGTTTTCTTTCTGTTGGGGAGTCGGCGGGAGCCGGAAGCACGCATGGACACCGAGACTCATGCGTTGCGCTTCCACCTCATTGAGCACTGTGACCACATATCGGATGAGGTACTTTGGGCTTCCAATTCAGTTTTGGGTGTCTAGTATAGGAGTCCATGTCCTTCAACATATCCACATTTCTTCCCAGGAAGTCCAGTATGGAATATGGTAACTGGAGACTGCGATGTAGGATGTACTGTCTTTTGGTTGAGGCATGTAGCTAACGTCCCTGCTACTTGTAGCCATCTGATTGTTATTTATCAAAGAGTAGGGATGCTGTCTGTAATTCCTTTTTTTAATTACAATTTTGGCTTACTGTATCCGCCCTTTTGGAGTGTACTAGTATAATTGGATAAGCGTTTTTTCAGCTCCCTCCCATTCCTAATGTACAGCTGATATCATGCTGTAGGATAACCATAGGTGGTACAGTTCACTGATTGTGTGAAGTGAGTCTTCATACACTTCTACTTTTTTGTAACGTGTATAATTGCAAGGTATTGCCTGAAGGCCTAGATTATGCAGGGCTACGGTGTTCTGGAAGGAAGAGAAATAAGATGCGTAGCTGAAAGTGTTGATGCAGTCATCCTTTGTCACCCCTGTCTCTTGCTGTTTTCCTGTGTGTCTCCATTCCCCTTTCCCCTCTCTCTCCCAGATCAGTTTGGCTACTCTGAGGTTGTTTGAGGAGCTGCTACAGAAGCCACATGAGCACATTGTGTTTAGCCTTGTGCTGCGCAATTTGGAGCAGAGGAGCTACATCGCTCAGAGCTCTGGTGGGGCAGAGGACAGGCCCGCTGGGGACACAGAGCATCTGGACGAGTCAGAGTAAGAGGCTGTTTTCTATCGGGCTTTGAGGGAGGGCAGTCAGCATTTTTCCTTTAACCTGTCTTAGGTATGACTCCCCCAGAATTATTTGGATTCCCCCAGAAATTATTTGGAACGCATTTCCATCTGTTCTTAGAAAACTACTTGTTCCTCCAACCCAATAAATTGATTATTTATCTGGTTCTGCTTGCCAGTACATGGAGGTTTTATAAAAAAACATATTGAGCTGTTTGAGCTGTATAACTAGGGATCCTCTGTGCTCAAATGCAATGTTGGCAGATATGTTGGCTTCTGAACTTTCCAGTGAGGTGATCAGTTTTAATACACCAGTCTTAAAAAGGAGCAAGTAGAAACAGTGGTAGCTGGGCCTTGTGTGCCATCCAGGATCATTATACCATTGAAGAAATGAGGCACAAGAATGGGGCACTAGTGTTATTGGGGTTGGGGAAAAGGGTACCCATTTTAATATTTGAGAAATCTGGGCAGGAATACAGATCTACAGATCAGTCTTGGGGGTTGCTGCATGCTGACTCTGCATGATAACATCAGGCTTGCAGAGAAAAACAGCTGGTCTTTCTGAACTTCTGCTGGGCACTAAACAGGGAACTGGAGGAGGATCCATTCTTCACAGACATGTACCCTGAGAGTGAGTTCAACACCTCCAACCAGCTTCTGGCTTTACCACCCAGGACGACCAAACCTCGGCCCCCTGGGAAAACCCAGGTCACTGACATTGTCAACAGGTGAGGATGTAGACACCTCAGTGCTCGGCGTAGTCCAGCACATTGCAAGTCCATGCGAACAGCAGGACATTTTGTAATTTTCCTTTTCCTGTGCTGTACGCAAAAAAGTAATTATAGAAGCAGTTATCCTTCATGTATTTATTTCCCATTATTTAATTGCATTTGAGATAACAATCCCTTTGGCAGGAATGCCACTCTGGCACAAAAAATGGGTCAGTAAAGACACGTAGAGATGAGATTTAGAGAGAATTTTAATAATTTTATTAAGTGCCTTTCATGTCACAAGATATAAACATGCTTTACTGTGGAGGTACTGAATTAACAGTACATAGAAATAGACAGGTATCTCTCTGTGTGAAGCACTGTTCCTGATTTAGTTCTCCAAGTGCCTTATGAAGCTTTGAAATGCCCAGAGCACAGCTTCAAAAGATGTTTTCTTGTAAGGTAACTGTAAGAACTTTAAATTATGAATTAGAATATTTTCTGTTTCAGCTTTGTCTGCCTTGTTCCACAAGAAGCAAAAACGTCTCATTGTGTCCAAGAATCAGGATATGACACGTATGTGCATGATGCTCATGAACTGGTAAGAGTACAACAGTCGCATGTCTGATAATCCATCTCATTATTCATTCATGTGAGTGAATAATAAAGATCTTCAGAGCTTTTTAACATCCATAATGTACAGAGTTATGTAATGTTCTTGATTCTTTTAAGTGCTGTAAGACTGGCAAATGATGTTTAGATCCATACCTGGGATATTATGAACTGTTGAAGATCCCAGTTGTGTGTATTACTGGAATGTACACCAAAGCAGAGTGTATAAAAGGAATTGTGTTTATTTTTAAATCTTTATATTCCCTTCTAGTTTAAAGAATGCACCTCTTATTCTCTCCAATGGGGATGGCCCAAGACCCCTAAACCTCAGGAATCAGTTCACCCAAATCTGGACTTCTATGAAGGCCACTTCCTGAAAGTTCTGTTTGACAGAATCACACGAATTCTTGACCAGGTAATCTTGGCCTGCTTCACAAATGGACAGTGCATTTTCTTCTACTCCCACCAGTACGGTCTTTAGTGCAGTAGTTCATCAACATCATTCATTAAATGTGCAGGAAAATCCCTGTCCTGGTGCTGTCTTAATGTCAATTATGAGTTCATTTGTTGGTTAATGTTGTAGCTCCCATAACAAAACATTTCTACAGCAAGTGCCGCAAAAGCAGACTTCCTTTTGAGAAATGCTGTTTCCAGGTTCTGTCTGCTTCTTCAGTTGTAATAATGGAAAATGCCGATGTAACGGTTTCTCCCATTCTGGTGCTCCGTTGCAGCCCTACGAGCTGAACTTGCAGGTGACATCAGTGCTTTCCAAGCTAGCTGTGTTCCCACATCCCCACCTGCATGAGTACCTCTTGGACCCCTACATCAGCCTGGCCCCTGGCAGCAGGTCTCTCTTCTCCGTGCTCATCAGAGTGAGTAAGGCCTGTTGGCAAGTATGGTTAATACTGTGTGTTTTGGGGAAAATGTGAAGAGGGTGAATATAAACTAAATATTTTATCAGCCTGTTTTGAAAGTGGATTTCTATGGATTGTGAATTGTGCACAGAAAATGGGAATTGGAAGTCTGCATCAGTTTGGACTTAACTGATTGAAAGTTGACATATAGTGAAAACTCTGTAATGCATTCAGTGTTTTTTTTTTCTCATTGCACTTCTCTAAACAGAGATTTTGAGACTTGTCCATAACTTTACTCATGATCAGGATTAGAAATTCACCTGTGCAACTCTAATATGCTTCCTCATCAAATTAATTATTGTAATTGTATTTTGTTTTAGCTTGGCAAAGAACAGTCTGAACATGAATATAACTTAATAAAACAGAGAAGAAGTGTTGATAGGAAAACCCGAAAAGTATGATTATATAAAGTTAGATATGCCTGGAGTATTTTGATGTACTTTTATGAAAGCAGATGGTACCTATATTTTGCTATGCTTTTTTCAAATGAACCATTGTGGAAACTTGCTCTCTTTATAAGTTACCAGTACTTAAATACATGGAGCAAAGTTAATTTAATGTACAACAGTGTGATGCTGTTGTTATTTACATACTTTCTTCATGTTTTGTTAAGGCTCTGCTTTTGACCTAAAATTTGGCAAACATGTACATAAAATGATTTCCAGTTCATTTTCTTTTCTGTCTCTTTAAGAAATTATAACACATTCATCGCTGTTGGAATGTTGGCTTTCAGCCTCCCTGCTGTGTGAATTGAACTGTTGCGATTGCCAGAATTATATTTAGAAGTTTTGAACTTTCTCTGCTGGAAGTCCCTTGCACTTTCCCTTGGACGCCCAGTGAAATGCAGACTCTGGACAGTGGCACATTTTCAAATTATCTGTCCTTACAGGTGATCGGAGATCTCATGCAGAGAATTCAGCACATCCCACACTTTTCTGAGAAGCTGCTGTTCGTGAGGAAGCAGCTGATGGGACTGGAGCATGAGACAATGTAAGTAACCACATGAAACATCTACGCCCTGCCTCCCTAAAACTGCAAAAGCTGGATTTGACATTTTTATTTTGCCAAACTCTTAGCTACATTAAAAAAACAAAGGGCTGTATTTGATTTAATTTATTGATTTATTAAATACAGATTGGTCAAACAGGGTCCACCTGCAACAATATAACTCCTCTATCCCAGCAGTTTCGTCCTTTAAGTCCTTTGTGAGACTTAGTGGCTCATTGTGAATGGAGAGTTCAGTGTTCAGGGTCTCCCAGGGTGGGACATCAATTCTTTGCTTTACAAATGTAGGTATTGATTTATTCAGCTGTACTTTCTGGGAGCAACTGGATAGACATACTTTCAAAAACAAGCTCTTTTCCATTTTCAGTTTCATCTGATTTAAGTGATTAGTGATGTTAAGGATTTCACACATACCACTTGGGTAGTCTCTACCATAATCTTTTTTTTTCTTCATCACTACAGGACAGACCACATGACTTTGCTAAAGGGGGTTATAGTATTGGAGGAGTTCTGCAAGGAACTGGCCGCAATAGCTTTTGTCAAATATCCCACTGAAGAACATTAATGTGCTCTCGTGTACACTGATCCCAAGGCAGCCTGTTGGTCACAAAGGAATCCTGAGCTTTTACAAAAAGATGTTGAACCTGGACACAAGACATTACAAGGACTGCATCTAGATTATACAGGTGTAGGAAGCAGTATAATCTAGGTACTCTTTATATGTAAATAACAACTCGAAGTACAGCCTGATGCTTCTCATGAGGAAAATGTAGAGGACACAAAATCTGTTGCACAGTAACGATGGTACAACTAAGAAGAGACCTTTGTGTAACTGCTTGAGTTTTGTTTCTATATGCAATGTTTTATGTAAGATATATGAACAGTACAGGTGTATGTAATTTTTATCTATTTATTTAAAATTATAAAGATAAGGAAGCTTTCACAGAGCCTGACAGACATAACATCTTCAGTTAATATACCGGTGGTAAAAATCTGCAATCTCTTGATTGTTTTGAATGATATATTTCTTTATTAAATATTCATAATTCAGATAACATTCAAATCAAGAACAGTTGACAAAATGAAAGGAAATGAGTAGGACAGAAAAAGCTTCAAAGACAGTTTTCAGAGATAAGACTGGAAAAATTTGGAAATTAAAAGGAAATTGCTCTAGTCTTTGCTGTTTTTGCACACCCCTATCCACTTCCTCCTGGATTCTGCATTGTGATTAATTGTCTTTAGAATAACTGCAGTGTCATCAGGAGTTTTACCACCAGTATATGAAGTTTAAGTTATGTCTGGTCTACCAGTGTTTCTATATTTGTCAGAAAATGGGTATTTCTTACTAAAAGAAATCACTGAATCAAGTTCGTTAAGTCAAACCTTAAAACTGCACTCTTGATATATAATAATAATACTGAATTTTCTGTTTTTCATTTCTCATCTTTTAATTTAGCAAACTAAACCTTGAACCTTTTTTTTTTACCTTGGGATGAGTTGTGATTGATAATATACCACTCTAAATTGTGCAAATGTATCAAAACTTAGTTTATACTGGGGAAGCCAACATTGGCTGTTGTCCTTGTGAAAATGTTGTGAAAATTAACATGATGTAGGGAAATAAATTCAAAAGGATGTTCATTTTAATCCAGTTCGGTCAGTGACTTGCAAATGTTTTACTTTGTTTATGCACATAATCGTAGAACGACTGATGTAGCAGGGTCAAGTTAGTTTCTTAGTTGTTTGAGATCACTGTAATCTAGTCCTGCAGACGTCTATACTTATGATTATTGAGATCAGCAATATGCTAACTGCCCTAGGATTGAGTCATACCAATGTCTGAAAGATAAATTATATATATCCTATGTAGGAGAATGTGTATTGAAAATCTGGAATTATCTACTCTTAAGATCTAACTGCATTCCATTAGTTACCTCTTACTATATGATCTTATACCTCTTAAAACCAAACAGGAATGGTAAGAAACAGCTTTCATAGCTACTTTTACAGTGAATCAGTTAATCATGTCAAGAGATGGTGGACTTCATTGAAGGGTACACTAGTCCTGTAACCAAAAAAGAGATGCTTGTGATGGATATACATATTTGAGAGTGTTTTTGCAAATCGTTTAAGCCACGTGCAAAGGCAGACTGTATAAAAATGGCAAAAACCTTTTGCACTGAAACATCCCTTTTCAGTACATTACTCAAGAAGTTATCACGAGTGATTTATTAATTTTAACTATTTTCTGATGTAAAATGAAAGCAAGCCTAGAGGGATACATTAATAATAATTGAGTGCTTTCGTTCATTCCAAAGAATATCAGAGCACTTTACAAAACTTAGGGGACCCACGTGAACCACCACTGAAGTGCAGCACCCACCTGAGTCACATTAGGCTGACCTTACGTGCCTGTACCCCTGCTACACTGCAGATCGTGTGAACTTGCTTCACCAATTGAATTACAGTAGAAAGAAAGGCCAGACTGCGCAACCCAAGGTGGGATTTATCCAGGACACGCCCTCTCATTATGAGGTTTTGTCATGTATATAATACACCAAGACCTGCATCTGAAAGTGCAACTGAATGGATTTTTGAGATTTGGCACTCATTTCTCTGCTTTATTTTTTTTTAGTTCCTCAAATTAAAATATACTATGAATTGGAACAACAGATCTCGAGTCCTGCCTTTGCTCCAGCTGTGCTTTCAAATCTTGGTTCTCCACTTTGTGCCACTGAAACTTGTCGCTTTCTAGTACTGGGGGGTTCCCTGTGCTGGCCGTCTCGCTAGTGTGTTCGATGGAAACCAGCACATTGAAACATATCCCATCCGTTTTGCCTGGGTCCCTCCCGTGATGCTGGAGTCCGAAAACCCCCAGGGTTTTGCTGGTGATTTGAGAGCATGGCATGCACTCCCTGACCAGCCTGCGGATGGCCCACGTGAGGTTCCGTGACCTCTCTGCTGGCCCAATGCCCGAAACGGTGACGGGCAGATGCAAGTCATCCTGGGTGCCCAGCAGCAGCCACAGGTGGTTGCTGGTGTCTGTAAATGTCAGGATCAGCCTCTGGCAGAGCAGGTGGCAGGGTATGTCCACGGGGAGGGTGGGAGGGAACCATTGCTCCTCCTTATACCTCAGTCCGGCCTCGATCAGGGGGAGGATGTCCCGTGCTCTCAGCGGGAGATGGGAAAGCCTGTCCCACCACCGGGCTTGCAGCGATTCAGAGTCAGCTTCTGCTTCTGTCTTTATCATTCCTCCTGCGAAAGAGAGGGAGCGATCACACAGAAGTGCGTTAATAATACAATTTAACTAGCGGGCAAACAGTGCAAGCTGTCATGTTCTGTAACTCCATTCACTGGAATTTAAAGAGATTGCTTTGAAGAAAAGGCTGCTGGGAACATGGTAAGCAAGAAAAAATAAGCCTACTTGTATATATTGCACATTTCCTGTTTTAAATATATGCAAATTTAAAGCATTTCTACTGATTATAGTGATCATGCTTAATTACTTATAACTTAAAAGACTTTAAATAGCTGTTTAATACACTTGTTTGCTAAGAGTGTCATCCATTCAGATGACTCACTTGGTATTAAACATAGAGCTCAGACTTTTTAATTTATAAGTCATGAAGCTCTGTGTCGCCAACAGCTGTTTTCCCTCTCACTGTTAATGGGTTCATTTAAGAAAATGTATCCTATTTATGTACAGAAGAAGTGAAATATTGTCCTGTCTGATTCATAATTATCTCTGACCATTTTGGTGTACTTTTTTTTGTTAACAGGCTTACTTCCATTATACAGGTACAACGCACAGAACCGTCTTTGATAAAAACTCCTTCCTTTGTAGATTGCTGCAAATAAAACTTTGGTTCGCACACTCTGCACGCTTTTCGCCTTGTGCCCTGTCTGTACTTCACGGAGAACTCTTATCTTTGAACAGTACCAGGGCGCCTCTCAAGACGGAACTGGACGACGTTCTCGGAGCAATTCGTTCATAACCACTAAAAGGGTCAGAGGGGGAGATGGGTGGATTGTTGTTAATTTTTTGTATGTTCTTATAAATCATCTCGTGTCTTCTTTTTACAGGCAATAAACTTTGCAGTGCTTCTTGCGTCCATTATATCAATTGTATACTCCGTTTGATCGAGTGGTGGTGAAATATCTAAGGCGCTTTGAAAAGGAAGACAGAGAAACCAACTCCTAACAACTGGTTGAGCACACTGGTCTGAGAGATCTCTGGATTATAATCTATTGTAATAGAATTGATGCATCAAATCCTTTTGATTTCATCTCTTAATTCCATCATCTCCACTTAGAAGGCAGGCTCCACCTTGAATTTTGCATTCATCCATTTTCTAATCGTTTCTTTCAATTCAGGGTGGCGGGGGAGACAGAGTCTATACTGGCAAGCAGCAGGCACATGGCAGGATGCAGATGCCAGTTCATCACTGGGCCCACTCAAACACAAACAAGCACACACTCACGCCTGGGTCATGTTTCCTCAGCAGCCAATTCACCTACACGTACTGTATGTCTTTGGACTGTGGGTGGAAAACAGAGCACCCAGAGACAATGCACGTGAACACCGAGAGAATCCCAGTAACTGAGCCCAGGGTTCCCAGCGCTGCAAGGCAGCAATGTTAACCTCTGCGCCTCCCCCTTGTATGTCAGTGCCTCACAAACTCGATTCTTCCATCCGGTCACCAGTGTCGTTCTAAAACACGTTGCCCTGCACCAAGCTCTAAAAGCCAGTAATAAATTCTGCACAACCTGTCGCTCGGGCCAGAAAAGTGAATCGGATCCAGCGCGGGCCGTTCTCCTGCACCAGGAGCAGGGTGACCGGGTCGCACTCCAGGCCCGTCTCCTCCCTCACCTCCCTTCTCATCCCCTCCACAATGCTCTCGTTCTCCTCCATCCTGCCGGCGGGGAGGTACCACTGCCCGTGGCACTCGGGTTTCGCCTCCTGCATCATCAGCACTTCGTTCTGTGAGGCAGGAGGCCAGCAGACACACAAGACACACCATGAGGCCGGAGGCATCCCTCAACGCGCTCGTTTGCATGCAGGGTATGGGTGCCGCAGGGCTCGGAGACACAGAGTGCACAGGATAATCAAGTCACTGGATATTCACTCATATTGTCAACTAAAGATAATCATGTACTAATCCTTACTATGATATTTTTCTCATTACATTTTTGTTGTAGGCACTAGCTTGTGTGGGATTTTAACTACATACAGCTGTGTTTCTAATATTAAAATACGGAGCAGTTTGGCTAATGGAAGTAAAAGAATAAGTAAAAACACTTTAGGACACTGTTAATATTTCTATACTTTAATATGTATTTAGTATGTATGTAAAAAAAATACTTATTGACTTCAATCAGTGTGCTGTACCTAATGGTACCAGAAAACCATAAAACGTTTGTATTTAAAGCCAATAGATGGCAGTATGAATCTACAGGGTCATAGAGGACAGGAGCTTAGCACTAAAATAAAATAACTGCTTGTTGAGGAGAGTGATACACAACTCTTAAAAAGCACGGGCTTGAAAGTAATAAACGACAATTTAAGTAAGTGCTTTCACAGACTGAAATACACAATTTACCATTGAGTTGACGGCGGTAATTACCTTCTATTGGCTAAATGGAAGCTTACAGTTTACATTTGTTTACATTCGTACAGCGTTTTAATCCCAAAGAATCTCAAAGCTCTTCAAATAAGAAACCTGCTTCTATTGAATAAACACTTCACCCTTCACTATTGTATAAAGATTGAAAGTACTGTATTTTGTACTATTCTATTTTTTAAATTAAAATCCAGAAGAGTTCTGGTTTGGGAAGTCCAGTCGGTTAGCTGCGCTCGGGTACAAATAACGTTTCTAATGCCGCATGGCACGTTTCTGCTCTCCGAAACAAAAAAACGAATCCAAAACGTTGAAAAGCTATCTTCCGGTCTGCCGCGTTTACCTTTTCGTTAAAGATGACGCCGCAGACGATGTAGCAGGTAGTTTTTCTTAATGCTACCGACTGCAGGTCCGGAGCGGAATCAAACCGCTGCACGGGCGAGCCTTCACCGCTCAGAATCTTCTCCAACTCGTCTTCCACTGTCCGATGAGCCGAACCCATTGCTGGGGAAAGCGAAGTCCCGGCCCGGCCCGAACCTTCTGTTTATAATCGAAGAAATTCGGCGACTGAGTTTGGTTTGCAGATCCCTTAACGGGCTTAAAGAAAATAATATAGGGAAGTTAACTTAAATATATATAATTTGTGTTTTGGGCAACGCTTGGTGGAAACATGTGATCGTCACTAGTTTCACCGAGAAGAAACTCGTCTATCGATTAGCGCTTCAATGCACCTTTTTTAAAAGGTAGTTATTATTGCATCATGGAAACCAGCGATCTGGTGCATTGTTCCTGGGTTCAATTCATAGCTGCGTAGTACACAGAGCTAAAGCACCTGACAAATGCTGATGGATGCAGATGTACAATGTTGTGGTAACTGTATCCACCGTAAAGATTACTGGGAGGGCTCATAAAATTGTAAAAAAAAACTATGATTAGTAAGGAGCTAAATGCAACGTCCTTGGACTGGACTCCCAAGTGCCTCTGCAGCAACCGTGTTTTTTCTGCTACTGCCCAGGAGTCATTGAAATCAAATCTGTATTGTTTACCAAACCAGAAATCTCCGTCTGACATACATACAAAAACAAACTCAGCAAAAGTGTTTCGTACATCTGTCAACAACCGGAAAGTGGACATGCAATTCAGTTTTACCTAAAACGCAGCTCTGCTTTTACTGGTACGCTAGCTGTTTTCTTCGTTAGCACGTACAGTATATGTTGTACAGTAATAACAGCGGAAGTCCAGCCCACCCACTGTCGTTGGCTGCGAGCTAAGGGATAGTAAAAAAAGTCCAAGATACCATTATAACGCACATAACAAAACGCGCACAAAAGGTTTGATTGCACAAAACAGATACAGTACCTGCAGAACTGCGTTTTTTCTTCTGTAGTCTCACTGCTACAGATAGGCTATCTATAAAGTGCTTTTCTTCAACATTCACATGTTTAATAAGTAATTTTTTGTGTGGCCGGCAATGTATCCTAATGACAAGTCCTAAATGTAGCATACAATTTGAACCATTAGTTATCTTTTGCTTACAGCTGCGAGTGTTCTACTCCTCCAGAATAAAAGATGATGGTCCTGGTAAATTAATTTACGAATGACAGGATAGTTAATATTTTTATTTACTGCATTTGTTGACGAGTCGAATTTACAGCTCAGACTTCAGCCATAAATGGACTATTTACTTCGATAACTACTTATTTTGGATGCATTTGGAGCTCTGTAGCTTATTCTCAGCACGGTCTTAAATGGAAAACAGTCAAAAATGAAGAAACAGCTGAAGGAAGGGATATGCATTTATTCATGCGTGCAAATTATTTGTACGAATGCGCCTAAATGTGAAACCTCTTCCACAGACCTTACAAATAAACCCTTCCATCAGCATATTTAGAGTAAGGAGCGCGTCCTTGAAAAAACAGACAACTGTAGCTAGCTGCTGGCCGAAGTACAATCATCGTTACTCTTCACTGTGCGGGCTTGCAGCGACGTTTTTTCTTTGTATCCTCTTTCTAAATTGTCCTTCTTCAACAGCTGCTGCTGCCCGGTACGTGTGCCAGGCGTACGCCTGTGTGCGCGGAAGAAGAAGGGTTAACCTTAGCTACGGGCCCGTTTGTAGAGTGACGCATGCTCCGTGCAGTCCACTCCACTCGAACTCAATGGATAGCCCAACCTGAGCTGTCCGGACAAACAACGCTGGGAAGTCAGTGAATCAGCATATCTAGTCGTTATTGCCAGCACATGGTAGTCATTTGTTGTTGTTTTTTTTCTTTGAAAAATAACCGCTCATAAAATAATCTGGGAATTTGGTAGAGAAAAACAGAGACAAAGATGGCTCGATAAAGGTTGTCGGAGGTGGTCTACTACAGTATGTGGAAAAGGCATCTACTTCTTAGGAGGCAACGCCTGGATAGAGGAAAAAGAATTGAGTTGTTAAGCGATTACGCCGACTTTATTTCTTAACGAAGATGGGTAAAACTTTGCCCCAGAGCTGCTTTACTTTCGTTTTTTGGGGGATTTTGCTTTCAGACGGGTTCACCTACGGTAGTAAGAGTAAGTGACGCCGATCTATTCACGAATTCAGACTTCAGTAATTAAGTCTACATTTTTACTCAAAGCTGCTCTGGCACTTTGAGTACCATACTCATCGTCGTAACCTACAAATGCAGCCTTTTTTCAGTTCAACAACCTGCCGAGAAACTTTTGTGGTCCACCGTTTGTAACCGTCTAACATGTGCTTCGCTATGTTTCTACACGGGTCGTTTTGAGAAACGCGAGTTTCTAAAAGCTGTTCCGTAATGATATTCTTTGCTGAATAATTTGTATACTCCATACAGCCCATTTAATTGTCCACTTCAAAAGTTAATGGCAGTTTGAAGGTGAATGTTGTAGGTAACCGAGGTGAATGAATTGGGGCTGGTGTTCTTGGGGAAGCCTTTGGGAAAAAAACGACGCAGCGGATGAAGGGAGTTTTCGATTATACGGTTAGTGAATACCTGCCAAGAAAACTAATACAGTTCACATCGTACATCATCCTGCTGTCCTTGCAGTGTCGCTTTGAGATGGAAATAAAGAGGTTGGCCGGTATAGATTAAAGCGAGGTGGTGTGTACACCCAAAACGATTGCATGTACAGTAGTGATAAAATCAACTTGTCTCCCTGTGTGTCAAATAATCCATGTAGTTGTTGTGTTAAATTGGGCTTCTTGAAGTGTTGCCGTGGTGGGAAAACATCCAGTGTTTGTCAACCTGCACGCTGCCACATAGTTTACACATTTACGAAGCGTTGTTCGTTTAAGTATCATCTACTGTAGTTATAAAGGGTCTTGGGTGTACAGTCTTGGCAGGCGGTCTAATCGTGTGTTTTAAGCGTTTCCAGTAACTGGCTTTAAACGGGAACAGATTGTGGTGGTGTCCCACAGACGCATCGTCTGATTGAAGCGGGTTTGACAAATACTTTCTGTGGTCTACAACAGTTGTCCTGCTTTGGGAGGTCTTTCACCGTAAAGGCAACACATCGATCTGTTGTGCTTGCTGTGAAGATTTGTAATTTTACTCGATCTCAAACGGCCGCCTATTACGATTGTTATTGTTGCCAAAAATAAGTTCTTCAGTTTCATCTTTTTTTTTTGGAGGGCGTCTGGCAGTCGATTTTTGAAAGTAATTTAATACTTGGATAATGCTATTGAACATGCCTGGATTGAATCGTTTAAATGACAAATAGATCCTGTTCAGAGGAATTCTAGAAAATGATTGAAAAGTAAGTCCTTTATTGTTGTAGTTTAACTGAAAACATGACAACATTTGTTTTTGCTGCAGTTGTGTGATATTTTTTTCCCGCTCAGACTCAGGTAGGACTGTACACCTTGAGTGGTGCTGAATGGGTTGTCAAGCCTGTTTTATAGGTTCTACGATCTGAAGTGCTTTCACAATAACGAGCTGTCCAAACGCCTCCCATTTTCTACAATACCGCTTGTCGTTTTGTTTTTCAAGAATTAAACAATTCTTTCCACAGTTTGGAAGCAGAATGACTTTTTCCCATCAGAGAAGCTAGTCTTGGGGCCCATTACTTTTTATTATTGAGATGCTTCTTCTCGCTCGGATTATAAGCGTAGTTTCATTGTTATGCAGATATTCAGATTTACGTTAAAACCTCTTCTCCCTCGGGATCTGCCGCCTCCGTCAGTTATCGCTGGTCTGCGTAACATCATACTCTGCTTGACGTCAAAGTCCTTGGAAGATAAGTAGTGATACAACGGAAATGATATTGACGGGCAGCAAATGTCAGCTGGGAAAAGCTGGAGAGCTTTACAGCGATGGTGGATGGCTTCCCCATTCAGTCAGGAATCTGCTCAAATTCTATTAATATTCGATGCTGTGAACTTAATTCCCGTTTTTTTTTAATAAAAAGGTTCGATTTCTCTAACTCTTTGCTCCAAAACTCCAAAATATGTCCAAAACTCTACAACTAGAATTCTAATTCACACCAGACCCTATAGCATATCACTCCTACACCTAAATTTCTACATTGGTTGCCTATAAAATGAAGTGTTCAGTATAAGTCCTTGGTAGTGACATTTAAAGCTCTTAATAGGCTCCATTCCCGTAGGCTCTGTTCTGTTGGGGCTGGTCCTTTGCTCACAGTAGCCAGGATCTTGGTCTTCTGGTGACTGTGCCTTTGCAGAGGCTGCTCTGTTGTTATGATTTGCACTTTCTCCGGCTCTTCAAGAGACAAATTATTCGACTCTTTTTAAATCTAAGCCTAAAACTCACCTTTTGTATTAGGACCTATGTCTGATTGTCCTACAGATGATCCTGTATGTTCTTGTTCCGTTTTTTTCTTCTTTTGCTGATCTCTATCACTGTGTACAGCATCCTTGGGATTGGAAAAGTGTTTTATAAATAAAAAATATTTTATGATGCATTATGCAGTGCTTTCAGAACTGTTTTCTTCCTAAAAAAAGTGTCTTGCCAGTCAGGATCCCTTTTCATTGAGGTGTAAATTATCAGGAATAGTGTGGAATCTGAGAGGACTGGGCTCAACTCTGACAGCACCTATACAGTGGAAACAGCCTTAGCAAATACATCATCTCAGATCCTTTGATTGCTGTTTAGTAATTGTTATACTGTAGCCCCCTCACATCTAAGTGTTTAAAAACTATAATGCATCGTTTTGTTTTAAATACAATAATGGATTTTTAAAGTCTACGCTGTCTGTATTGCTTTCATTACTGTATTTTGTATTGACCATGACAAGATTCAGAGAACATCTTTTGTTTCAGGCCATAATGGAAAATGTCCTTTGAATGCCACAGGCTGTTTTTTGTTTTGACAGACCAAGCCCTGAACACTGTTCCAGAAGAGTGCTGGAAAGTGCTGTCTGCCATCGTATATGTACTGTATTGTTCTTTTGTAAATAAATGACTAGCCTTTTGATTTTTCTTAACATTTCTAGAAGCTTGTGGGTTTTCATTTTTTTTGTATTTTCTAAGGCCATTTACAGAAACTTTGGTTTGGATATTTTTCTGTATTTGTGCTGAAAGATAGGTTTGTCACAATAAGAAAACATTCATACTGAAGTATTTCTGGGTATTCAGTATTTTATTTCCTCATTTACATCTCTACTATGTACAGTATATAGGCATGTTGATGTACAGGGCTGTTCTGGATAACGTAAACCTCTAAGTTTTATTTAAGCCTTTAGTTTCGCCAGCAGCCATATCACTCTGCAACTCACAACTGGCAACCCACTGAAGCTCAGC